GTTATGGGTCACCTGTTGCTCTCTGGACGTGAGTCTTTGTTTTTCATTTTCTTTTTCTTTAGGAATACGTGCATTGGCCCTAAGGGCCTCTACTCACCAAATGCACAAAAGACACTACACCTGTCTCTTATACACATCTAGATGTGTATAAGAGACAGGTCCCTTACCGTGTCGATTGTGGGGAACCGCGATGGTGGGCGGCGGCGGGGTCGGCGGGGTCACGCGCGGTGGCCGGCGTTGGCAGGTGCTGGCGGCGTTGAAGTTCCACGTCAAAGTCTGGCGGAGCGATACAACTGCAGGGCAGGGAACGGGGGGACCCGTCTTCCCCCGAACACAACGCACCCTCATTTTAACTGTATCTGGCGGGAAATATAACTCGTATACATTCATTTTTAGGGTGCGTTATGTTCGGGGGAATTCAGTAGGGGGTACAACGTAAGAATGGGGGAGGGAACGGGGGCCGGTAGTTCCCGCCCTCACCAATTTGAAATCGTGGCCATCTGGGCCGTCGATCTTTGAAATTGACGATCCAGATCGGGCCCGATTTCGAATCGGTGAAATCGGGCCTGCCGGCCCCCTTTTTTTTTTTTTTTTTTTCGTGGTCTGCATAGTCTGCCATGAGGGCGAAAAGGGCCCCAGCGCCGAAAAAAAAAATAAAAAAAATGTACACTGATGCGCTGGGGGCGCCTGGTGGCCAACTGGGCATGACAACCGGCCAGGAGGCCCGCCACCCCCCCGGGCGACGACCAGGCCGCCAGGCGGCCCGGGGACCAGCCTAGGTTTTTAAATATTTCTGTTCTTTTGTTTTTTGGGCCTTTGATTTGAACTGACGGTCTGGCATGTCCGTGCATGTCTGAACAAGAGGAGTGAGGTGGGGAGTAAACGAATGGAATGGATGATTGAATGGATGTGTGGATGGATGGACTGATGGACGGATGGGCTGTTAGATTGATGGATGAAGCCAGCGCTTCTCCTGGGATCAAGCAGGGAAATAAAGGCGAGAGATGAAAAAAGGATTGGAATTCGATAGATGGAAGATGAGCAAGGGACCAGCGAAGTAGAGAGCTTTACATGGGCATTCTGCCAGAAGAAAGTGACAGAGGCAATATAGCAAGTAGACAATTGTTCTTCAACCAATGGCATAACTGCGAGGCACAGGTAGAGGGCGTTAACCAGCAGATGAAGTCAAAAAATAAGAAATTAACAATATCCCTCATTTTTATTAGATTGGGAAAGATAAGAAGACACAAGTGGCCATTTAGTGATAGACAAGACTGGAGGAATACTCCAGTAAAGGAAAGGAAGAATTAAGGGGATTGATAACAGGGACGGACATGTCTGACCTTGTTGGAACAGACTTAAAACCACCAGTATCCTGAACCCATCTGTTCACCTGTGAAAGTTTTTTTTTTTTCAATTAATGAATGGATTTAAGTTCATTTAACTGAGTACATACTCCCAAGTGCAGTCCCCTTGTGAACTGGTTCAATTTGCTCAGATACTGATGGTTTACATTAGGCACTGGGAGCTGAAAAATGGGATATCAGTCACTAGTGTAGCTATCACAGGAAAAATAAAAAATGGGATATCAGTCACTAGTGTAGCTATCTCAGGAAAAAGAACGGCCGAGGTGTTACAGGAAAAAGAATAGGTGGGAGCTGCAACAGAGGGATTTGGAGCTTTCTGCCTAGCAGGGCAAGGGTTGTGGAAGGACAACCCGAGTTGATGTCAAGGTTTTCCTGCTGTTGTAGTGCCTCACGGGATGCAACCATGTAAACAAGATCAGGATGATGCCAACAGTGGTGACATGAACACCAGGGTTGGGGACATCAGGATGCAAGTGATTGTGATGATTGGAAGTAGGGCAGGAAAACAACGTTACTGGAGGTTGAGGTACTGACAATATGGGTACAACCTGTTCCACATTGCAACCTACACTTCAGTATGCACTATGCCGTAACACCCTTTTTACATCATCCTTCCTCCAGTCCCTTCAAGGTGACAAGGAGACGATGAAAACATATCCCAGTGCGTTAACCTCAGAAGGGAATGCCAGAAGGGCTTTGAAAGTAGATTTTTTTCTTTCTCGTAAGCCTTTGGTGTGTTATAGGATGTAACCAAACTGTCATCTTTGTCCACGGTGTCCACTATGGCCATTTCTGCGCTTGATGATTCATCCCTAATGCACGTCACCTGTTTCTGCAGGAGGTAATGACGTGGCAGCATGATATTATAGGGGCTTAGTCCATTGTGCAAAATAAAGGTCAATGCTACAAATTTGAACCCTGGTGAATACATCAAGGGTTGGTGTGATGGGGAAGTAACGAAAGGGCAGCATGGTATGGTAGGGGTTTAGTGTCAACCAAAACTCTATGCCCCAGACTTGGAACCAGATGAATACGTCAAATGCAGAGGGTTGCCCTTATGCTAGATGTTTCAATGCTAGAAACATTGTTTGTCCTTTGTGTGTGTGTGTGTGTGTGTGTGTGTGCGCGCATCCACAAACATGTGTATTCCTGTGTGTGTGTGTGTGTGTGCGTGTGTGAGAGAGAGAG